ATATATATATATTTCAAGTATTACTATAAATTATAAGTTTTTCTCTGTATTTTTTAAACAAAATAGTCAATAATTTTAAAATTAATATTCAATATTTCAATATGATTTACTTTATATATCACACATAAATTTACTTGTTTCTTAATATTTTAAATATATATATTTTTGTTGAAAATAGATACGCGTAGATTCAAAAGTCTCCGCATAAGAGTCTATTGTAGAATCTTGAATTTGAATATTAATTTACATAAAAACTGACTGAAAAAATCTTAAAAAAATCACATACAAACATTATTTTTAAATAAAATTATATTTCGAATTTCATACTATTTTTAACATTTTGGATTCTTCTCATAATCTCCTCGATAAAGCCTGAACTGTGTGATGGCTAATTACAAACAATCGGTTAAAAATGTCCTTTGCTTATAATTTTGTAATATCTATAAAATTTGAGAAAGAAAGAGAGAGAGAGAGAGAGAGAGAAAGAGAGAGAGATGCAATTTATAATAATTTTCAAAATTATAATAATAATTTATAATAATAATAATTTCAAGAAACTAGTAATATAAATGATATATATCTGACTATATTGCATGTTTCTTAAGTACTGTCTAACAGTTAATTGATTTTTTACTGATTTTGAGATAATTTTATGAAGAAATAGTTTATATAAATATATAGTTTTAAAGGCTTTGTTTCAAAGATGCAAGGTCTTAAGAATTCTATATAAAACCTCGAACAAAAATATCTAATGGTATTAAATTAAGAGACCGCATAGCCTAAAGCTGAGAAGCTATTTTGTATACAAATATATATAAATCAAGTGAATTCGCCTACCATATATTTGTTATTTAACAAAGACGTCCAAAAAATAATTTAACTCATTAATTTTATTAATGTAATGTTTTAGTAATGTATAATATTTTATTATTAATTTTTTTCTCTTCTCGTTCACAACAGAGTGTGCTTGAAGTCATTGTCTATTTGGCAAAAGAAAATGAATTTCAGAATGATGGTTAAGTAAGATTTACATATATTTCAATATGATTTACTTTATATATCACATATATTTACTTGTTCCTTAATATTTTAAATATATATATTTTTGTTGAAAATAAATATGCTCATAATGTTTGTATGTGACTAAAAAATCACATACAAACATATCTACATATATACATATATACATATATACATATACATATATACATATATACATATCTTAAAAATAAGATTTTTTCGTCAGTCCGTTTTTATGTAAATTAATATTCAAATTCAAGATTCTACAATAGACTCTTATGCGGAGACTTTTGAATCTACGCGTATCTATTTTCAACAAAAATATATATATTTAAAATATTAAGAAACAAGTAAATTTATGTGTAATATATAAAATAAATTATGTTGAAATATATGTAAATCTTACTTAACCATCATTCTGAAATTCATTTTCTTTTGCCAAATAGACAATGACTTCAAGCACACTCTGTTGTGAACGAGAAGAGAAAAAAATTAATAATAAAATATTATACATTACTAAAACATTACATTAATAAAATTAATGAGTTAAATTATTTTTTGGACGTTTTTGTTAAATAACAAATATATGGTAGACGAATTCACTTCAGTGGAAACTTAACCCCTAGGTATTTAAAAAAGTTTGAAAGATCACTTCTTTTTCAGACGTCTCGAGGTGAACGAGAGTGTCTTGACGTTTTCGAGTTAAACTTTCAAAAGTTTCAGTCGCCTTACTCGTTCGTTTCTCCGCAGACGACAATCAATTATGAATACGTGCAACTCCGTTGCGTCGAAGTTTGCTTTACACAACTTCGTTCTTTTTAGAGAGAGAAAACGGCGAATACGTCACGGCGAAGAAGAAGAGGAAGAAGCCTCGTTAGACAATCTCGTGTGTCGCCAGAGGAACATATCTCACGTCAAAGGGATTCCGGAATTGTTAATAATGGTTCTCCTTTGAAACGTGCAGTGGTGCAAAGTAAGCCGAAGCGAACTTTCAGTTGCCAAAAGTTATCCGGACACACGCGATGGTAATTATGACCGAGATGATCGACGCCTATTCCGGTGTCTATTTTATCGGCGACATACAAGAAGACAAATATGATGCTCTTCCTTTTCTTCCTCTTCCACATAGAGAACTTTTTAGCTCTCTTGGGGAAACTTGTTCTTTCCGTTCGCTCGATTTTCCGGCTCAAATCGCTCTGCGCAACGGCTTAGGAATCAAGCTGTCGCAATTTACCGAAATTCTCTTCTCGGATTACTTTCGGAGCTTTTCGATTCGCGGACGCGCGTGCACGACCTCGCGATAACGTAAGGCGCGACCAGCGCGGGAGGAAATAGCGACCTGGTATTTGCGTTTTACCAGCGCTCAAGATTATAATATCTGCCTCCTAGATTCTCTTTCTCTCCGGCCAATTATAGAACTCTGGCCGCCACGCTTTCGCGTGATATTTACGCGGGAGTCCATCGCACTCCTGGATCTTCAAGTGCAAGCACTTACAAATTTAGCCGGCTAACTGACCGGCTCTAATAATAATTTTCGGATGTTCTCGGCCGGGCGTAAATACTACGGATTTTGGCGCGGCGCACGCGAAGGCGATGCAAGGTCTGCACGTACGTCGCTTCACAGACGCGCAGTTATCTATCGTCCAACGCGATCATAAACAGACACATTTTTAGCCGACGATAAATGTTTGCGAATGCCGCTTTAGCCGCGCTTGAATAACACCGGTCTACAAAAAGAAACTTTTTTGTCACATAAATCAAATTATGTGATTATTAGTAAGGGAGAGTGGGGCAAATAATAACGGATTTTTTTTTCTTCCTCGTGTAAACTATTTTCAAGTTGTCGAGATCGGATGTTTTAATAAAACAATACTTTCCACCTTCAATTATACGAAAAACTTAAGTACAAGACCCATAAGTCATATGGAATAACTAGATTTTCATAGAAACTAAAATCTTTTGTAACTATTTTCCCCAGTGTGGGGCAAATAGTGACAATCAGAAAAAATAGTCCTGAACTTCCATTCAGTCTTTTTTTTGACGATGTGTGTGACTAAACAAAAATTGAAATATAATTTTTTTACTGCCATATGTAAGAATTTTATTAAAACAAATAATGTATAAAATTTAATTTTAGTGAAATGTTATGACGTGCTTTTGGAAAGTGATTTTTTAATTTACTTTTTAATATTTTCTGTATTTAAACCTAGTTTAATTGCTTTTAAGTTACACCCAACAAAATAAATGGGAAGAATTGCAATTGCAAAAATTTTGGCCTTGTGAAACAAGGTAAAACCTGAATCTTATTCAGGTATTTCTATTTAGACTGTTTTGATTCCTAAACCCCTAAATGAGATTTTACCTGTTCAGCGTTGTATGATGTTGTATGATGTTGTATTACTGAAAAACCCTAGATAATAGAAAAAGATCCGTTTACATTTTTAATTCAACGTAGAAAGTAAAAGAGAGGGGGCAAATAGTGACAATTTAAATTTCTCCTTTTTCCCGCGTCTATGCTACTACCACCGTTAATAGTGAGTAAGTTCTCGAATATCTAATCATCTTTGAAAAAAGTGATTAAACTGCTAAGCCAAACATATCTAATAAAGGAGCCTAAAATTTTGGCCTTGTGAAACAAGGTAAAACCTGAATCTTATTCAGGTATTTCTATTTAGACTGTTTTGATTCCTAAACCCCTAAATGAGATTTTACCTGTTCAGTGTTGTATGATGTGTTTCTTCTAGTGTGATTTAATCAGAATTGCAATTGCAATTAAACTAACACTGAATAAGACAAGTAACGTTATTTAAAATTTGTCAGTCTTTGCCCCAGGAGTTGCCTTTTCTTTTAAAACACTTAGAACAATAAACAAATTGATAAATACGTATAGAGATTAGATAACACTAGAAGAAACACATCATACAACACTGAACAGGTAAAATCTCATTTAGGGGTTTAGGAATCAAAACAGTCTAAATAGAAATACCTGAATAAGATTCAGGTTTTACCTTGTTTCACAAGGCCAAAATTTTAGGCTCCTTTATTAGATATGTTTGGCTTAGCAGTTTAATCACTTTTTTCAAAGATGATTAGATATTCGAGAACTTACTCACTATTAACGGTGGTAGTAGCATAGACGCGGGAAAAAGGAGAAATTTAAATTGTCACTATTTGCCCCCTCTCTTTTACTTTCTACGTTGAATTAAAAATGTAAACGGATCTTTTTCTATTATCTAGGGTTTTTCAGTAATATGATTCTTAAGTTTCAAAAAAATTAAATTTCTCTATGCACATAGTATTTTGGGAAAAATAAACAATCTCTTAGGGACGTATAGATCAAGTGAAAGTAACCCGCGTAAGCTCATATAAAAGTTTTTTCTACAACGTACTTCTGCTAATATATTCACCTTCGAAATTAGGATCTGAAAAAGCATTTCTTAAAAATAATTGTTATACTGTGCTTAACATAGTTTGTATAATTTTTTTCATTTTGAATAAATTTATTCAATTAATTTTGACTCAGTTGGTTCGTTTTACGCGAAATCTTTATCTTATTGTTTGTATAAAATTTCATCTTTCACCGTGCACTTTTCTCGACAATTTTTGAAACTAAACAATTTGAAACTAAACAAAAATGAAAATATACTTAAAAAAAAAAAAATTGGAGGAATCTAAGAAAGTGTGTTTTAAAATTAAAATACTTTTTTAGTGCTTTTCGAAATCAACTTTTAATAACTTTTTTAGAAAAATGTTTACGAAAGAATCGTGCCGGAGAGAAAATTCGCGATGCTTAATCGCTTCAATTTGTTGCGAGATACTTTTTTTGTGCCATAAAGTACAAATTTTTTTTTCCTTCGATTCAGACATAACCATAGTTCCGAACTCGAATTGAAGATTACGATAAGTTTGGTAAAATTCGAATTGAAGAAGTCTCTCGTCCCAAAGGGACGAGACTAAAGCGTAAAATCCAATGGTCTTACTTGGTCGGTACGAGAGAACGGAGCCTTATGACGTGTACGTGGTTATTCACAAGAGTCATCAGCTTCTCGCACTCCTCTCTCTGAGTCTCGAAGTAGCTGGCTTCCAAAGTTTCCAGATATTCGGCCAAGTGGCGCTCACAATATAATCGCCGCCACGAGCCGCCGTGCTCGGCCGGATCGTTGTGCTCCCATCTGCAAAGTTAATGGAAATTGTCACGTGTCTGCGAACGAAATCACTCGTATCTGTCGTAGTGCAATGCGTAACAGTGCCTCGCACTAATCGGAGATCGATAGAAGCCTCACCTGTCCTCGGCCGCCCGTTGCCAATAAAAATCATCGTCGATCCTCGTTATTGTCAGCTCGAAGGGAAAATCAGTCGGCAGTGTTTCCACCAACACGTCCCTGTCGACGCACGTTGGCAGATCTTCTAAAACAGGATTATCCTTCCACGTTGACACTATAGAGCGAAGTGCGAGGATCTTCAAATCGGGGATTACATCGTCATCCCAGGAAGCGTCCTCCGCTCGTAGTGTTCTTCTTTGTTCCTGCGGTAGCAGCAGAGTACCTGCCGAACATCTGCAAGTCGTAATTTGCCAGAATGAATATATATACACAGATGAGGCATTTAGAATAGACCATCTGAATTCATTCACTATTGGTGACAGGAAAGAATATTTCAGCCAAATGTTACTTGATTTTAAGAATCACATGTAATCTGATGTCAATAATTATTTTAAAGATAGATACGTATAAAGATGTAAAGGAGATATGAGTCAGTTTTGTCTTTTTTAATTGAACGATATGTTTTTCTATTTACTTAATAGCATTTTTTAAGAGGATATTGGATACCGACATAATGCAGCTTTGTATTTTGCATTATTTTTTTATTTGATATCATAAAATATTTATAATACTTATATACAGAATAAATGTATAAGTGTCAATGAATGACGAAGTGCTTCATATGATAAAATTCGTTTATTTTTTAAATACAAAATTTTTTTTATTTTTGATATAATATGAGATACTTCACAATATATTGATATTTATACTTCTACTTTGCACTTGCAATTGTACACAACCAAATAAAAATAATGACACTGCAAAATACAAAAGCTGCATTAAGTCAGTATCCAGTGTCCTCTTCGGGAGACGCTGAAGTAGATGACTAACTCGAAAAATGTCGATAACGTAGAAACGATTGTCACTAACACAATTACACTATTCTTTTCGTTTTTTTTTTTTTATATAGGACTTACATAAATGTGTTACTTTTTTTACCATATTTATCGGAAAATCTAACTATGCATGTATAAAAATCTTTCGCAAACTTTTCGGGTATTCTTAAACTGTTGAATTCAGATGCGAAGGTACGACAATGTCTTTCAAATTTTTTTTGTTTGGACCATTCACACTTTCGGTATGTAGAAGCTGCAGAACTTTTGGATTAAACAAATATTACGCTGACATTTCGAGATTTTACATTAAAATTTTTTTTTCGTTTTCGCCACATATTGAGCAACGCTTTTATTTATTATTGCTAGAAATACTTAAAAATTACTTATGTCACGTTGGTTTTTTTCTGATTAATAATAAAGAAGATATGACCTGAAAAAGATTTTTTGTTATAACGTTAATTTTATTGTGAAGATATCTACCTGTAAGTTGTCACGACGTTCTTGGATATCGTATGTGGAATCCTCATTGTTCAAGTCGATTTCTCTAAAATAAAAAGTACTAATTACTGTGACTGCATTTTAAAGAGTATACTGTGATCGTATTTCATGAAAAGTGTTCCGCATGATAATATTAGAAGCTTGCAAAAATTCATCAGATTATCAGCCATATTTTTTTTTATAAGGAATAACGAAACATTGTATGTTCAGTGAAAATATTCCACATCATTGTCTACGACTTTTTATCACCTTTTAGGTAATCTGTGATTCTATGTTTGCAAAATGACTTATCTTTTAAATCAAATAAATTATCGAGGAAATTATCGAATTACCGACAAACTTATACAAGTCCCTAGTACTGGTAATATAAAAATCGCATGCATAAACAGTGTATATGAAAATCCTCTTTGATATTCAGTCGTAAAAAAACAAAAGGCAAATAAGAGTCATGACTTATATGGCTCTTACTTGCCTTTTGTTTCCGTACGATTGAATGTCAAAGAACCTCCTTTTCTTCCGTATCATTTTCCATGCAAGTTGAAAAGTGAATTTTCCACAATTTTCATTTAATTTCTTGAAACAATTGCAACGTGCAAAAGTCTTAAAATATTTATCAATTTAAACGCGTATATAAAACTAATACAACTATAACGAGTTGTCATATATACAATCAACGAATAGAAAAAGTCAATGACAGCCAACACAGGGAGCAAACTGTAAATCTATTTATGTACAAATGTCAATATACAAATCTAAATGTTTCAGTCAACATCTTCGATCTTCCTCAATAGAAAAACAAATTTACGCAAGATATCTTAAACAATAAAGAGCTAATTTCGTAAGAATTGATGTTGTTTACAAATATCGTTGCAATCGAGAGAGTCGAATTGTAGTCGAAATACAAATTAACTCACTAGTAACTAGCAGCTAACTAGCAATTCGACATGCATTCTTTTAACTTGATCAATTTTTGTAAACAACATTAATTTTAATGAAATTGAATGTTCATTATTTATAATACTTTGCTCAAATTTATTTTTCATTATTAACAAAGTGACAATTGAAATGTTAGATTCATATTTTGTACATAAATATATTTGTAACTTACATCCAATGTCGACTTTATTGACTTCTTGTATTTGTTGATTGTACGTAAAACTTTTGTCACACATCTCTCTTTAAGGGGGCACATATGTTTGTCGGGTCAAAAAAATCGGTTTTTTATTTTCTTATTCAATTATACATAGTTTCAAGAATCTGTGGCTAAAAGTGCATCACTGTATTCGCAAAATTGACGGAGATATAGATAAAAACGTGCGAGCGCGTGAACGGCGCACAGTGAGGACAAATAGAAATTTATTGTTCAAAAATTGCTAGAGACCACAATTTTATAGCAATCAGGATGAATTTTTTTTTAATTAAACGTTAATCAATGTAGAAAGAAACTGTCGAGCCTGATTTTTTTTAATTCTTCTAAATGTTGCAATATTAATAAGAATTTGTAAAAAATTATCAAGTTTTGTGAGCCACTCCAATTGGAAAACTTTCCATCTTTTCGCTGCACAGTACTAAGGTTTTCAGCATCACTGATTATGAATCTGATATAAAAATCAGAATTTGACAACTGTTAATCTCTTGTCAACATAAACAAAATCATTATGTTTTAACACAATATATATGTTGCAATAGGGTATACAAAGTTGTTCAACATAAATGTAAAGTCAGTATTAAGACCTAGTATTTAACAGCTGTCTGTCAATCCCATAGTCGATATGAAAAAAATGTTTCTGCAGCACGAAATGTGTCATTGTAAGGTATTAGGTTTAGGTTGCTAAATACGAACTTAATTCTTAATAATATTGCAACATTTAGAAAAGTTTTTAAAAAAATCGGGCTCAACAATTTTTTTCTACATTGGTTAACGTTTAATTAAAAAAAAAATCATCCCGATTGCTATAAAATTGTGGTCTCTAGCGATTTTTGAACAGTAAATTTCTATTAGTCCTCATTGTACGGCGATTCGGGCGCTCGGCCTGGCGCGTATGAGGCTCGAGACAGCCTGTATGAAGTTAGCCCCCCACTTTTCGAATTTATTAATTTTGACAGTGCTGATTGTGCTGATTTGTGCTAGGTTTGTGCTACATTGTGCTCGAATTATAAATTTTTAATACGAAAAATGGAAAAAACCGTTTTTTTTTTGGTAGCCCCCCACTTTTTGATTTTCGAAATTTTTTTTATTGTGCTAGATTGTGCTAAGTTGTGCTAACATTGTGCTAAAGTATTATCTTCGAAAAATAATCATGAAAGGAATAAAACGAAAAAAAACGATTTTAAGCAGAAAAGAAGAAAAGTAAGATTTATACTCGTATAAGTCAATCAAACGATATATAATTATATATCTGAGTTGCTCTAGGCTAGCACAAGTCAGCACAAGCTTCAGTTTCGCCAGCACAAGAATCTAAAGGGCACTTTACTCTTGACCGCGGCCCTTCGCGGCTCGCAGCCTATGTCATTAATCACGACTTCTAGACTTTGGATCGACTCAGAATTGCATATCTGAGTTGTGCTAGCCTAGCACAAGTCAGCACAAGTTTCAGTTTCTCCAGCTCAATAATCTAAAGTAATTTTAACATAAAGCAGATGATTTTATAGCATTATAAAATAAAAAATATTAAAACGAAAACGAAAAAAATTTTAGAATACAAGAAAAAAAACAAAAAATAACAAAAACATATAAAAAAAGATAAAAAAACAAAAAAAATAAAAAAACAAAAAAATACAAAAAAAACCGTTCCGATAATCTTCACCTTGACGCGGTGGAACGGCATACGTGCAGAAAACAAATGCATAACAAAGAGAGATATCTTCTTTACTTCCATGTAATTTAATATTATCCTGATCAATCAAGTTGCGCGTGCGAAAGGTTGCGAAAATCAAGAATAAAATACCTTTAATATTTTTGTGCTGGCGAAACTAAAGCTTGTGCTGACTTGTACTAGGCTAGCACAACTCAGATATGCAATTCTGAATCGATCCAAAGTCTAGAAGTCGTGATTAATGACAGACTGCGAGCGCGAAGGGCCGCGGTCAAGAGTAAAGTGCCCTTTAGATTCTTGTGCTGGCGAAACTGAAACTTGTGCTGACTTGTGCTAGCCTAGAGCAACTCAGATATATAATTATATATCGTTTGATTAACTTATACGAGTATAAATCTTACTTTTCTTCTTTTCTGCTTAAAATCGTTTTTTTTCGTTTTATTCCTTTCATGATTATTTTTCGAAGATAATACTTTAGCACAATGTTAGCACAACTTAGCACAATCTAGCACAATAAAAAAAATTTCGAAAATCAAAAAGTGGGGGGCTACCAAAAAAACGGTTTTTTCCATTTTTTTCGTTCATTTTTCGTATTAAAAATTTATAATTCGAGCACAATGTAGCACAAACCTAGCACAAATCAGCACAACTGTCAAAATTAATAAATTCAAAAAGTGGGGGGCTATCTTCATACAGGCCTCGAGACAATGGATACGCAGCTGCCTGTTGCAACCTGTTTGCGAAGGGCCTTCCGAGCGGAGTCGTGCGTGTTCAGACAGATCATAGGCTCACTTTTGTCCTGTGCTGGGATTCTGTAACTCGTTATTGGAGTTAACGACAGTTTCGTTATCGTTGAGCAGCTTTTCTATGGGATACAAAAGCTGCGCAACGATAACGAAATTGTCGTTAACTCCAATAACGAATTACAGAATCCTAGCACTGGTCAGATAACCTAAAAAAATAACAGTCCACAGGAAAGCGTAGAACGCTAATGTAGTAGTTCGCAGCTCTTCGGTGAAAAACGAAACGAAACGTCGGTCGATCGATAGAAAAGGGTCGCGTGTAGCCCGCAATACACAACCGAAGAAAAGAAGACCATCTCCAATAAATGTACAGTTGGAAACTTATGCAAGCAAAGCCGCGAAGAAGTTGCATGAAAAATCGGACGTTACGTTTGACCCTGAAATATCATATTGTATTCTGCAATTCTGCACCGTGTTACAGCCGTGTTTACAGCAATATCTGAATGTGTCGCTTGTAAACAATGTACGGAGGCGCAGTTTTATCTTTACAATCGAGTGTTCGCGCACTCGGTTTCAGATTAAATATCAAGAGTGCTACGTGCGACAAGGTAATTAATAGCGAATATTCGTCACCGCTAATAGGGACTGCGTACGAGATCAACAGAGGATTGGTTTTCGCTATGCGTGTTCTTGGTAAAAAAACTACGAGCAATACAACGTTTTTGCGGCATAATGGATTTGCCGAAATATTCCGAGCAAAAATTGAATCTAGTGATTGTAATCTAGTAATGACACAGAAAAGTTTGGTCTTACATCGCTACTAGTTAGGAATGTAATGCTCACTTCTCCTAGTGGCTATACCAGAAAAATTATCTAGTAGTTAGATAGTAGTTAGATACAAAAAAATACTTATAACTATAAGTATTATAGTTACTAGACAGTTCTGATATCCAATTTCTATTCAGGATTTATCGATAATTTTCTATCTCGTTACTGTGTAATCTTTTTCAACTAACCACTATCTATGTAATTGGTATAGTTACTAGATAATACTGACATTCAAAAGACATTCAAAAAAAAAGACATTCAAAAACATTCAAAAGTGAGTAGGAATATTTAGCCAGTCACGAGTTAGTGACTGACTAGAAAACTTATCTAGTCGTTACTATCTAGCTACTAGTCTTGAAATCCACTCTACTAGATATATTTTTGCTCGGAATGTTGCACAGGCTTCCTATGACACGATTATGAACAATACACACTGCCGCAAAAGCCGTTGGAATGCAATCTCTGAAAAAGGTTGCTGAAAAATGAGATTCAACAAATCAACGATGCTGCACATCCAAATATACCAGACGGCCTAAAAGTATTCGGAAATGGCACCTAGATGAAACCAAGTTTTTCTTCGTTATTTGGTGTCATGAGTATTATTGGATGGTATACGGGAAAAGTCATCGATCTTGTTGTCAAAAGTTCGTAATGCAAGAAACGCGAAGCTCATGAAAAAGAGAAAGGTTCTGCGGAATATAAGGAATGGATGCAGTCTCACGAGGAACAATGCTCAGCAATCATACTGGAAGTGCAGGAAAAATGGAAGGTGACGCCATGGTTCAAATGTTCCAACAATCACTCGAATTATATAATACCGTATACGCATATTATACTGGCGACGGCGACTGTAAAACATTTTCCGCCCTTCTTAACGCGCGTTTATATGGTAATGTAGTACCGAAAAAATTAGAATGTGTGGGTCATGTGCAAAAACGCATAGTGACTTCGCAACGTTAAAAAATATAAAGAAGCAGCGAAAACTACGAAGTTCGAAGGTCGGCGAGCCTCAAAGGCAAGGGAAAATTATTGCATCGTAATTGACAAGTTAACAATATATTATGGTTTGGCGAATAATTGTGACTCGGTAAAAAATCTAAAGGATGCGATTTGGGCCACATTTTATCACAAAATTTCCATTGACGTCAAACCACAACACATGTACTGTCCGCTTAGAGCCAATAGTTGGTGTACGTGGCAAAAAGCGAAGGCTATAGGCTCTCTAAAAAACTACAAACATCAACCTGCTTTACCGGAAATTGTACAGACAGCCATCAAACCCGTATACGAAACTTTAAATAAGGAAGATTTGCTGCAAAGATGCGTAGGTGATCATACGCAAAATAATAATGAAAGCTATAACCAGACTATTTGGAAGGTTGCGCCCAAGACGATCTTTGGTAGCTTGCGCATCGTTGAAATAGCTGCTTACGTGACTGCGAGCGTTTTTAACGACGAATCCGATTTATATCTGCGTATAATGGATTTATTGGGCATCCAGGTTGGACGAAATACGTATCAATATTGCCAAGAAAAGAACTCGAACCGTCTAATGCACGCCCGCATCAAAGCGACAAGGGAAGCTCGAATTGCTCTCTATCGAAGCAACATTACGAGGCGTAGGAGGGTACCTCTTATAGCGCCAGAATAGCTGAATAATAGTAAGTTTATTAGTTAATAATAGTAATAATAGTAAATAATAATAGTAAGTTAATAATAGTAAGGTTATCCAAATAATTATATTATAAAGTTTTCATGTCAAAACTTTAAATGCGTTTTTCTCAAAACGCTGTTTTCCATCCGTGCACAATAATTCGTCGAGTTTTCAATATTTCTGGATGTGCCTTGAACGAAAATATTCGTAATTAAATTCTTTATCGTCTGTTAAGGGCTTTTTTTTGTTTCGTTTTTCTTTTATAACAAAAAATGTGACGAAATTTTGAAGAAAAATCGCATTTTTTTTTAAGTTATGCCATTTTGTTAATTTTTCGAAATTCAAAAATCCTCCTCGATAGATGATAATCACAATCTTTATGTTTAAAAACATATTTTTGTTTTGCAGATCGCACGAACGTACAGGACGGAATCATGCCGAAAAATCGAGGTTCACGCCATGTTGCGCCATTTTTAAAGTATTTGCTCAATCGAACTTTTGTTTAAATTTTTTATACAAAAATATATGCCATATAATTAAAAAAAAACCATGCAATGATATCTCTATCCCAGGCTGAGAAAAAATTCCTGAAAATAGGCTTTTTTTACAAGTGATAAACATATGTGCCCCCTTAAATAATATCTTAACCTTAATATCATTCCGTCTCATTTTTTTATTATTACAACCGGGAACCATCACTTTGACTTTTCAATACATAATTAAATTTATGAACTGCCTTTGATGCACTGAAATTAGAACAACCAATGTCATATTCAGCTTTGTCGACGTAAAAGGGAACAAATTATATTATACAAAAGTTGGGGCATAATAGCCTTAACACGTGAAGTTAACATATCCTTTTAAAACGTGTAATGTATTACTTAAGGAAAGTTCTAAAATAGTACAACTATGTGCTGAGGCTATTATGCTGGTCAGTGTATATTAATATATTAGAATATACAATACTGTATACTACTTTTTCAACTGGCAACATCGCTCATTCTAGTCTAAAAGAACCGAGTAAATGACAGGTGAAAATAGGCTGTTGCTGAATTTTTCCTCAACAGAATCCTCGCAAGACTAAGATATAAAAAATGTTTTTTTTTTTCTTTTCAGGAGTGTCCCGAGGGAGTAGTTCACGAGGATTCGTTCAAGGACATTTACGCGAAATTCTTCCCGCACGGCAGTGAGTTCCAATTAAATAACAGCCCACGTTTTTGCGTAATTAGTTAATGGCCACCCCTCATGCGAATTGCAGACTCCAGTCTCTACGCCCACTACGTGTTCAAGGCCTTCGACGTTAATTGCAACGGGGCCATCAGCTTCAGGGTAATTAAGTCTCTCATGTAATGTAGTCTTTCATTAATTTTAAATTGCCCGGCAAACACACGACACGCTCGACGATGCATGTTCCATTGGTCGTTCTCGTCTTGGAATGCGGCACGCGTCGTCCTCTTCACAAGGAACTTTCCTCAGCGCACGTAGTAACTTCCTAATGTTATCACGCCCAGGGTGTGATCGATACTCCAGCACGAAATCTAAACTAAATTATCGGCCTATAGCTTTCTGCAGCGTTTAATTGACACATGTATTCCTCTCTCTTCGAAGCAATACATTTTTTTCTTTCTTTCTTTTTTTTTCTTAATTCAACAAGTCCATTATAATTTTAACATTACCGTCATACATATAATTAATTATTAATGTACAGTTAATAATGTTCCTTTAGTATTGCTTAATATTTTGGAGGTTATTTTTATGAAGAAAAGTTCATGTAAACACATGATTTCAAGAATCTCATTTCAGAGATATAGTGTATATCGTGCGTATAGTGTATGCAGTATATACAGGAATAAGGTGTCAAAAATTTAAATTAAAAATATTTTAAATTAAAAACAATTTTTTTTACTAGTGCCACATTACAACTAACGAGTTAAATAAGAATTTAATATAAAAAAGCTGGTTTTATTGATCATAATTTATAATAATTATTTCTCTATATAGTTATAGTTACATATATCAAATATTGCTCTCTCTCTCTCTCTCTC